TTCATGTGCCAATCACTACACAGAACAGCTTCTTTTCCAAATAGTTGTTCCATTATTTTATGAATGGTGATTGTCAGGATCACTTTCCCTCCCTCGGATGGTTGGCTGGGGGACTTAAAGAGAGCAAAGCAGGAGTGCACAGCTGCAATCACACTGTGAGGCGGAAAACAACACTGTGTCAGCCAGTGAGGACCATATGAGATAAAACCCTCTTAAACTTTTCCCCTCTCCTGATATACCTATGACCATTTGTACTCCTTATCCCTAGTCTCTGTTGAAGCTTTTTCCAGCACCCGCTCCCTGTAAAGTGACCGGATCAGGAGCAACTACACATGCAACCCAGGAGATGCAAAAGCACTGGGCCAGCTACACCAGGGCAAGGTGACAGAAACCCTCCAGAGAAGCTCAGGGGCGACAGTCAGACACAGCAAGCTCCTATCTCGCATTGCAATGGCTCCTGCTACATGGTCACCTGTAACTGCCACTTCTATCCAGAACATATTACAGCCCTTGCATGAATCGAGCAAAAACCTTCATCTTCATTAGAGCAAGCCAAACCTAACCTTGAGAGAAAGGCATTCATGCTGCAGAGGAGAATAACAAACCTTCCTGGACTTTAGGAGGGGAGCAATCTTGGAATAGCTGCCTGTCTCTTCGGAAGCACCCACTATTACTGTATGTAAGGTCAGGCTGCCTACTGGGAACAGGAATAAAAGCTACCGGGAATGGGAATAAAATGGGAAAAAGGACAGCTGTCCTGGGAAACGGGCAGCTCTAGGACAGCTCTGGAGGCTCAAAGGGGGATTATCTTTTTAAAAAAGTAAATATAATATCTCTTAAAATGAAGGAATAAAGCACTTCTACTGGTCACATAAAACACCTTATATTGTCCAGAGAAGAAGCTGAAGATAAGGGTGGCAGATGTAGTGTTAAAATGGAACAGCTTCTGCAACCTAGTTCTAGAGCAGCAGGACTGGCAAAGCCCTTTTGCGCCCACCCTCACCCAGCAGCCAGGCTGCACTGCAAAACAGACACCTAAGCAAGAGCTGACCGAGATCTATGAAATCAAGAATAGCACAGGAGAGTGGGAACATTTACTTGCTTTTTCTCACAGCACAAGATCTAGGCCCACGAAAACGATCAGAGCGTAGGTTTAAAAGAAACAAAAGGGCTTCTTCACACAACACACACACAAAGAGAGTAAAATTAATGCATAATAGCAAAACCCATTGCTGTAGGGTGTTGTAAAAACCAAAGGATGAACAGATCCAAACAGGACTAACAAGTTTCCGGTAAACATCGTAAACATGGTGGGTGCTAGACCCAGTGGCCCAGAGGCAGCATCCAGGCCAAATCCCTTGGAGAGAGGATTGCTGGGAACCTATAACTGAGAATGCCGACTCCAACCCTGATCTGTTACACCCTTCAAACACCTGCCACTGGCCTCTGCAGAAAAGGGATCTTCGCTAAACAGACCTTTGCTTTGGCCATTTTGATACCTTCATCTTCATCATCTTTCTAATGTTTTTCTTGCACAAATGAATCATAAGAGACCCTGGTGCCAAAATCTACCTACATCCCCCTTCTTCCACTCAGTTACTCCTCCCTCCAACACGCGACGCCCGGCTCTGTGACGTGCTTGCGAACACGGCAGGGCTGGTGCTCCCAGAGCCCACCGTGCTTCGCTCCCACGCTCCGGGCTGCCCGGCGGCCTCGGGAGACGCCACCTCAGCCCAACACAGCGCGGCCCTAACGCCCCTGCGAGGAGTTCGTCAGGGAGAGGACATTCAGCTTCACCGATTCCATCGCTAATCCAAGCAGGAGCTGGAAAGATAAACCACAGAGGCTCCCGAAAGAGCAAAGGAAGCATGAACAAGAGCTGATGTTTGTGTTAGAATAAGCACTAAGGATTTTACCCAGGCTACCTGGCAATACTCGCGGGGCAGTAGCTCGGTTCTAGCTTGTTAGTTGCAGCAGCTTTCTTATCCTCCTAAATGCTGCTCACAGCCGCTTGCTTTCTGCACGCTTTGCTCCACTGCTGCCCCTCACTCCTGGCATGAAGCACTCTGCTATTTCAGTGCTGAGCATGCAGCAAAGAGCACACAGCTCAGGTCCTGCACCTCAGCCCTAACCCTACAGCGCCTCTGCTCACCTACGTGACAGCCACACAAGGCAAAGTGGCAGACGGGATGGGGACTCTCTATTGAGATGGTTTAGGGGGATATCTGAGATGCTGCCACATTCAAATCCAGCTTCCTCCGCGCTGCGAAGCCCTCCCAGGATGCTCAGCTAATCGAAGTGAAGAACATGATAAACTCCCTGCCCCAAGACAGCTCTGTGCTGACAGTTCACTAGAGATACAAGATCGCTCAGTGACATTAAAAATGTCAGCAAGCACCAGTCAGGCTTGATGGAAAGGCTGCATTAGCAGGCGGGGGCATGGGCAAGGTAAAACTTCCACAAACTCTGCCAAATGCATTTTATCCTCTCGTCATCCCTGGGAGGCTTCTTCACAGATCCCAAGATATTGGTGACCACCATCAGCACCCAGAGCAACCGAGTCAGGTGTGGAGATCCCTCCCACCACCACATCAATCCAAAAGGGTTTTCCAGGGCAACCCAGGAGTGGTGGCCAGCAGAGACCTGCGATTCTTGCATTCAGCCTGTCCAGAAGTGCTGGAAACTCAGCAAGAGGTTGAGGACACAGGGTGCTTGTCTGCGCCGTTCCTGCAACACAGACGTGACGAGGGGACAAGGAAGCCTGAGAACAGCTCTCACACCATCTCCAGGGACTACTTAGCTCTAGAGGCTCCCTAGCAGACGCAGTACAGATAAGAACAGTTTCTTTAAATTACGTAAGATATATAAAAAAACGGGGAGCTAAGGGCTAAGCACGTGGAAAGGGAATCTGGAACATATCTTGCTACTGCTGCACTACACAGTGTCCAAACACAAGTCTCCTCCCCGCCGCCAACACTTCACTGTGTAGGAACGATCCTGTCAGTCCCACTCATTGATAGGGCTACTACTCTGCAGGAAATGGCTCTCATCAGATATGCCATTTAAATATAAATTATTTTCTTACATCAGAACAATCCATGCCTCTGCCAATAGCCATGATCCAGGAATTAGCAGTTTCACACAGATCCTAACACCTTCACGGATCAAGTCAGAGGCAGACTCAACCTGGGAGGTATTTCTAAACACGGAATTTGCCAGAGCGAAGGGGAAAGGGGATGCCTGAGCTATGATGGGAAGAACAGGAGGGCTCTTTACCTGCCCATTCTTATTTGTTTCATACTAGAAGATCCAAAGTCGAGAGGGACTGAGACCTCCCTAGGTCTCACTGCTCAGAATTATTCATCTAGGCTGGAAATCCTCTCTCATAAAAAACACACAGGCATCTCTCCCACCAGCACCCACACACAGCAGGCAGCAAGTGGCAGGGAAAGCTCCTCACCCAAGGGAGGCAGCTCCTCCTCACAGGGCACAAGAGGTCTCCTCCTCTTCCCACTTCGGTCCTTGGTGCTTCACTGATGCTCCCCAGCCCTCAACTCAATCCCACACCAGTTGTCGAAGCACCACACACAAATATCTGCCTTGAAGACCAGCCCCTTGCCTGCCTATCTAACTGTATCATGACGAATCCCAGCTCCTAACATGCTAAATCCAAGAACTACAGGAAAGAGCCTTAAGTTATTCATCCTGGGGCCCAGAGGAACAGCGTGGCTGGATCAACCTACTTCTTAGTAAACATCAAGGTATATGGGGATTTTTTATTATTATTATTCTTATTGTGCAGCCATCAACCTGCTGGTTATATAGCTGCTATCCGTTCACCAGAAGTTTAGTGAACTTCAAATGGCGATCATTAATGGTCACTGAACTGCAGAATGCCCCAATGTGCTTTCAGATTTCATTTACCAAGGACCAGCAATCAGCCAAAAGATTTGCTCTGACAGCAGGGAAATACAAGATCCCTTGACAAGTTCAGTCGGGAATGTGCTGCCAGCATCCCTTGTTACGTTCACGTTCTACCCTATTTGACGGAACAGATCATGCAAATTGTCCTTCTGCGGCCGCTCAGCATGTCGCTCGGGTTTCCATTTAAAATAATAAATTAATAAAAGAACAAAAGAAAAGCGCACAAGTACAAAGATCTGTTTATAAGCAAATTCCACTTACCGAGACCCCCTAATTACCAGGAAAAGGTGCAGAAACCCAAATAAAACACTAAACTGGATGGGGGAGGGGAACCACACTCATAGAAAGGTTTAGCCAGAAGGGCCACCCCAGTTTCTCCCATGCATAGTCCCCAGGGCTCCACATTGTCACTTCTTGCAGTGTTGCTGCTTGTTTTTTCTTGCTGCTCCCACTTGCCGTTCACAGCATCACCACAATTTTCAGTGCAGATGGAGCCAGGAGACCTGCTGGATACACAGCAGGCTGCTCTACAGCCAGTGAGAGAAGGTGCGGGGCAAAATGAGATACAGCAAAGTATTTTTTGCAAAGCAAACACAGGTTCCTCAGGTGGGAGTACCGCTGAGACCATTCCCTTTCTCCACTGTATAAGGGGAAATGCTGGCTTTTAACCTGGGGTATTTCCAGGTGTTTTCCAACCAGAGTTGAGTTTGAAGGGAACTGCACTCCCAGGAGCCTTAAACTGCTGGAAAACAGAGAGTCAGCAAGACAGGGACAGCACAGCCTTTGCTGAAGAGGGGCCTCCCAGCGTCCTGCTATTGTGCCGAGACACCGCACTGTGCCGGCCACAATGGGATTCTCCCCAGCTGCAGAACTCATCCCATCAGGTACAGGAAGACTCTATTACAGGAGACACAATAGGGAGCCAGAGGACTCTCTCAGTCCAGCTTCTGAGAAAATAACTCATTTCAATGCAAAACAGCAGTAGTTATTAGACACCTCCTTAAAGAGGAAAGGAAAAGAGAAAGCGGAGGGGGGAAAGAGGGAAATGGGGACCATGGCAGTTTGCACAAAAGTACCTTTTTCAGATTAATCCACTGTTTGAAGTAATCAGCAACCGGCAGCCCTAAGTACTGGCATTGTCCTGGTAACCTGTAAGAGAGAAGAGAGAGCAGGTTTGATTCAATTACTGTGTCCTGACAACACAAACTGTTTTATTAAGCACATGTGGTGCCGAGACAGAACAGACCCTGGAGTCTGCTGTAACAGGCTGTATATCAGAGGGATCCGCAGCTCTCGGCAAAAATAAAAAATCTCACAAGCACACAACTTGGCTGAAATCCTAGGTACATCCAGCTAACCCCAGGCTGCCGGACACCTCCCTGCAGGCTGCACGTTTAAATGGGGACTGTGTGTTACAGCAGTGCGGCGGCATCCTCCCTGGCAGCCAGCTTGCAAACAGGACCGGAGCATCCAGGCTGTCCTTAACCCATCACAATTCCTTGCAAAACCCTCCCGTTCACCCCGGACTTACCAGGCAGACACAAGGACTGACAGGGGACACGACAGGGCAATCTACCTGAGAGACCTTGTTGCTTTTTCACTTGACTTTTATGTATAAAATGCTGAGTGAGACATGAGGGAAGGAAGGTGGCAATGTACCCGTTTTTCAGTGGCAACGCTGCAGAAACACCATTTTTTGGAGGGTGCTGAAAAGCAGAGGTTGCTCTTCAAGCAGTTGCCTGGAAGAAGAGGGCAGCCACGGCTCTGAAGCAGCCAGGTGCAGCTTGGTGTCTCAGCAAGGCTCAGAGAGCCAGCTTCAGAGTTGTCAGCACACACGTAACCTCTCTCCTTCCTACAGCAAGCAACCACAACAGGGCTCACAAAACAAATTTCTGTTGAAAAAGGAGGAGGGCTGCCCAAAGGGACAAAAGGAGCCCAGGATTTTGAAGCTGCTCCTCCCAGGTTGCGAGCCCCAGCATATTCACAGAGTAGCCGTGCAGTGCCTCTGTCAGGAGATGGGGAGGTGAGCAGCAATATTCCAACAGAGCCAGCGCAGGGACAGGAGTTATGGGAGTTTGCCCCAGCCAGTTTGATCTGATCAAGAGTAATTGATGGATCTTGTTGGTTCATGTACTGCAGAGCAAGCCTGGGGCACTGGTCACGAGATCTTTAACTGAAGAAAAGGAACATCCCAAATAAATATGTCAACTAAATAAATGACTAAATTAGACCTGTCTCTGTGTGTGTGTGTGTGTGTGTGTGTGTGTGTGTGTGTGTGTGTGTGTGTGTGTGTTAAAAGCCACAAGCCCAGGAACTGGCCTTTGAAACCGGAGGGTGGCTACATCACAACTTCCTTGGACGTTTGGGTGCTTTAAGGGAAACCTTATAGGGAAGAAAGGAAGAGTTGTGCCAGCATCACCTGGTCAAACATCCCAACACAGACCCTGTCCCGGGCAGAATCTCCCCTCAGGATAACTAGAAGAACAGATAATCCAGACAGGATTCAGCTTCCAGGCTGCAATTCAGGAAAGCTCTGCTCAGGTGCAAGCACAAGCCAGGTACACAGCCTTGAGCTGGGGTTCAGCTGCAGCACCCACACAGAGCGCTGAGCTCAGCTCCAAGCCCGCACTGAACAGGGCAGCACCTCTTGGCACCTGTAAGCAGTTCTGCTGCTCAAGGGACACGAGAGGTACTGCAGTACTCAAGGAACAGCCCAGCTTTGGTTCCGCCTCCACTTTAGTGGAGAAAAAAAGGAAGCAAGTCAAGAAATACACCAAGAGTCGTGCAGCCCACTGAGCCAGCTCTCAATGCAAGCCCTATTTAGATTAAGAAAAGAATAGACTCTCTGTGCCAAAACCAAATGCACGATCCTGAACAGAAGCACACAGCATCATTTAGGAGTGATAATTTAAGTCATGCAAAGAGTTTTGTATCAGGAGCTCCAGAGGAATCTCTTTGTAAGGATCAAGCCTGGCAAGAGAACAAGCTTGCCGACAGGACTAGGACGATTTGCAGTTAGCCATGTGTCATGACAGCATGGTCTCCTCCCTGGGCATGGCCCATCTGATGCTGGCCCCATCGTTCTGAAATCAACCGCCTGGAGTCACTCCTTGCAAACACATACAGAAGCTGTCACACAAAAACCAGCCTGACCCAGGCATTTTGCAGCCATTACACGTGGGCCCAAGACATCCACGGGCTGAACAGACCTCACCAGCCCCAACCGGTGCCCTAATAAAGCTAATCCGCTAGGGAAGCTGCTTTCTACTAGGGCCAAAAAGAGAAAAAAAGAAAAAAAAGATTGAAAGGAAAAGAATGAAAAGGAAAGGAAAAGAATCTGAAACAAATGAACAGTTTAATATCACCATATGATCGGCTCAACCTCTTAGACTGATCGCATTTGGCTAGAGAGGATCACGACAGCAGTTTACAGAAGGTTTGTTACTGTAAGTGGAGGATCTCCTCCCAACTTAAATAACTTAATCGATAATAAACTTCATTAATACAGGTCTCTGTGTAGCTCCAGTTAGAGAAATATTTATTGTCTCACCTCATTCAGATAGGGCCCAGGACAAGTGAGTGCAGCATCATTCTTGTTAGCCCAGCGAATTGACAACTAACCTCCCCAGCACAACGAATGACATCTAAACCCCTTCCATCCCTGTGGGAGCAGAAGGCCCAGGAATCAGGAGAGCCTGGCTCTGCTTCCACCCTGAGACTCACGGGAGCGCGCCTTGGGCACTGGACAGGGGATCTTTAATTGGAGAAAATAAATGTTCCAAATAAATATGTCAACTAAATAAATGACCCATTTTTGCCACACGACACCAGAAACTGTCTGCGGAGAGGTGACCTCAGGACATTCCCTTCCCCCCTGCGCCTCGTCCCAGGCTCGCACCGGAAACACTTCCCCGTGAAGCTGTCAAGCGCTGGAAGATCTGCCACGTGCTACGGCCTGGGCGGGCTCCCTGCAGCAGGAGCAGGGCTTAAAAGCACCGGTGTGTTCCTGGAGGTGGGAAACGGCCCCTCCGTGAGCCCATCTCCGGGGAAGGAACGTTCTAGAGCTGTGGTGCGCCCTGGGCGCGCAGCACGCCGAGCGCACGCAGGGAAGGGGGCTCTCACCGCACACAGATCGGGTCTCCGTGCAGCCACGGGAAGGAAACGCAGCTCTGCGGCCTCCTCCTCAGCTCCAAGGATTTTGCCTGCACAATCCCAGCCCTGCTGACTAGGCAGGAGGTTCTCTGAGGTCTTTCCCAGGGTGGAGGAAACAGGGCACACCTGTGGCTCTGCCCACAGGCAACAAAACTGCAAAGGCCCTTAAGGAAGTATCTCCATTTACCAGGGTCATCGTTCACTGGAGCAGCTCGTGGGCAAACGCACTCTTTGTAGCCGCAAGGCTCCTCACTTTGGCAGAATTTAACCTTGACCACTGGGGGAAGCTTTGAGCAAAGACTCCAGATTTGGCCCTCTCTCTGGTGAGGGAGAAAAGAGCGAGTGGCCCCTTCACTCAACATCCTGTGACCCTTCCAGCTTAGGCCTAGGTCTCCCTGCCTCCCCGTACAGGGAAGCTCTCACTTCTTGGGAAGGAAGGCAGCTCTCCAAGCACCCCTCCAGCCCATCACCTTGCTTCAGCCATACCTGCAACTGATACAGAGGAACTCAGGAATGGCTGTGGGACTCTCCAGCCTCCCAGCGCGGCTTTGGCAACATCTGCCCTTCCAGCAGCAGAGATGGGAGCACACAGGTCCCCAAAACACAGGTCCCTTTGGAGCCCAAGAGGAAGGCAGAACAGGTAGTGAGCCCTGCAGAACAGCGCTCAGGGCCAGGCAAGAGCAGGTTCCCCTCCGCCAGCCAAGCTCTCCCTGCTGCAGTCGGCAGCTACACACCATTTTCGGAGAGCTTCATCACCCTGGGCTCCATTTTCCAGCCAGCCTTGCTGCTCCGTAGGCGGCAGGGGAAATGGGCCTTGGAGATGAACGAGATGCAAATGGGAGGCGAGGTCACATGGCTGCATTTCTGCCGCTGGAGCCGGCGCTCTCCAAGCCGCTAAGAAGCGCACAGCTCGGCGGTGATAAACGGCCCTGCTTTAGTTATCACTTCCCTTAAGTTAAGGAGAGCAGCCTAGTGATGGATGGGCTGGAATTCGGTTATCAGGGAAGGCTGTCAGCCAGAGTTGCCTATCTCCACACGCATTTAGCAAGGCATCATTATGCGATGGCATGGAGTTAAAATATGACCAAGGGTATTGAAAGAAAGAAAGAATGGGATTAAAAAAAAAAAGGCAAATTGAGCAACAATAAAGGAGCGTGAGGCGAGAATGTTATCGGACTAGTGACACCTTTTATCTCAGGCTGGTTAGCTAGAGCAGGGCACAAATTGGTCCTTCCTCCACTATTGTATCCTCTTGTACAAACAGAGGCAGATAAAATGTGTCACCAGTGCGATAGCATATCAATTTAACCCTAATTATCTAGGGGGTCAAGCTAAGAAATGGGGGTTTCTCATTTCAACAGGTCCCTCCACCTCGGCTCGGAGCAACCACATTAATATGGAAGGGGGAGGGGCAGCCATAATTGATTTCCGTCACTCAGGTGGTCCTGGTGTATAAAAAATTAATGCTTGATTCTCCCAACTAATCAGAGCTGGTTAATGTCCATCTGCTTCTGGGTTCAGAGTGTCGGCAGACAAAGAAATTGGGCCACTTTCTACACACTGCGTGTATTGATATTGAGCCGGTTAAAAGAACAAGTCCCTCTTCAGGAAAGATAAAGGGACATTAAATCTTGATATTTATAGACCTGGTCTCAGCCTTCAAAAAAAGTGCATGCACTAGAGATCTTGTGTTGTAATAGATACAGACCATTTTAATTGTGCCCTGGCCAAGCACACTACACTGGGCCACAAAGGAGAGGACAGACACCCTCAGCCCCTTCCCACAGCCTCCCGCCCTGGAAATCCAGGCACATCCTCTCCGTGGCTGGAGGAGGGTGGCCCCGACTGGGTGCACATGGATGCAGCCACACGCAGGAGCAGCAAGGCTGGAGCCTATGGAGAGGGCTGGAGATGCCTCCCGGCCCTGCACCGCTAGGCAAGCGCGGCTTGAACGGTCCCCGTTTGTGGGGAGCGAGAGCAGGATCTCTGCCAGGCGC